GGGGTCAAGGAGTCAAAGGTCAAGGTCATTATAAGCTGATGGCCCTCAAACTTTGTGGGTGCATTGGTCTTGGCCAGTAGATGACCCCTATTGATTTTGGGGTCAAGGGGTCAGTGTCATATTGACCTTGTACTTAAAGACGGTTTCTGACCAATAACTAAACAACTCAAGTTGTCTTGGTTGATATTTTTATATTAAACTAAAAATTCTTTTCATATACACATTTGAAGGTCTTATGTAATATAACAACTTGGCTGTCATTAATGAGGCCTTAGTAACATGATTCATAAAATTTATGCACATATTATTTGGTAAGATTAGTAATAACTTAAATTGCTGCACACAACCTATGGGGTCACAATAATTATTACCTTGTCACTAGTCATGACCAGTAGATAACCCTTATTGATTTTTTTGTTCACTTGGTCAAAAGTCATGCATAATAACCTGATCACATGACTAATTGGCAGCCAATAGGGGGCAGACATGTTTTACAAACATATCTTGTTACTTTTGAAAATGCATCAATTTTAGCCCTAAAACTGGAAAGACATCAGTTTTGTTTCCACTGCTGATTTAAAGCAGTGAATGATCTGATATTAATGTTGTATACAAGTTGTCGAGTAAATCAGAAATGTTGCATAAGTCTCGAAAAATGTTATTCCAGCCCCTCTATGTCAAAAAAATCCTCTGTGGAGTCCCTTTAAGTTTTGAAAATGAAATTGTTCATTATAAGACAGAGATGTCATTTTATTGCACAAAAAGTAGGAAAAGCTGTGAGAAAAGTGTTATTCAGAAAATGTTATCTAGATTATCTATATTCATATCAGGATAAAAATCTCATTCTAGACTGTAACATAAAGCTGCGAATTGTTTTATATACATGGTTTTTTATGCTTTTTATGGAGAACATATTGGTTATGATAATTTTGAAAGACAGAAGTGTGATTGTTTTGTTGTTGTATTATTATGCAAAATTAAAATTGCTTAGTACATAAACTCATTTGAAATTCTGTGGATAACAAAAATCTATTGATATATATTTTGAATATTTTGTAAGAAAAACATGGTTTTATTACTGTTAAAAGAGATAGATAATTGCAAGCGGCAATGATATTGCCTTTACTCCTTTAGATGCTTTCTTATTAACAGAGAAGATAAACTGTAAATAGAAAATATGAGTCAAATGTGCATATTGTGACATGAAAAGGACAGATTTTATAAACCAACATTTTCCCTGTCATATGTTATAAAGTATTGAATAATTATTTTAATATGCACTGCATACACATCCCACAATACATCATAAGTTTATATGAAACTATTTAGTGATGTCAGTCAACAAATATTTTTTGAATTATTTATTAAAATTTTACAAATTAGATTCAATGGCTGAGCGGGTAAATTTAGCAAGTCGATGTAAAATGTAACATTTTTATCTTCTTATCATTATTTATGATCACCGTGTTTTGAAACATGGAGTAAAATAAATTTAGATACAATCTAACATATTAAAGTAAATTAAAATACTTTATTTGTCACTATCTCTTCTTATCGCCAAAAAAATCTTCACTGCTGCGTATCAAAATTGCATGTTACATCAGAGAGCATGGATTTAGACGGGGGGGGGGGGATCGGGGGATCGTACAATAATAGAGTCTGTAAACAAGAGAATTGTGATGTTAGAATTTGAAACCTGTAATTTCCGTTGTATAGCATGAAAACCCATCACAAGCATTCTTAATGTTAAATTGACCAATTAAAGTTGATTTGTATCACACGAGTTGTTGTCTTTTTCTCTTTATTTTTTACAAGCTTGTTGAGCTAAGTTGTGGTTTAAGGAGAGTTGAAAGGCACAATTTGCTCTTTATATCCTATCAAACTGAAGAAAAATTACCATAAAAATTTTCTTGCTGTGAAGATTAAAAAAAAGTCTTTAAAGCATTTGAAATTGTTTATCTTTTTGTTTTCATTTTATGTGATTCCTAAAAGGAGATTTAACACTTAAAAGTGTTTATGTTATTTAGTCCCACAAACTAATTTAATGTTATAAGCTGATGGGACATATATGTGGCTATTTTAGCATGATTCTGATCATCCTGTGTCAATACTGTTTAATTTCTGGGATAATTTTAAGCATAATGTTGTCAATTTAGATACATTGCTATTGATCTTAACAGATGCAAGCAAGTAACAGTTTCTGCCAATAAAAGACATTTTGGGGGCATCCGTGGCCGAGTGGTTAAGGTTGTTGATATCAAACCACTTGCCCTTCACCGCTGTGGGTTTGAAATCCTACATGGACTTTGGACTCTTTCATGTGAGGATTCAGCTAGCTGACAGAAAATCCTTTCCTCCACCACCAAAGATCATTGTTCGAAATTTTAATTTACTATTATATAGAACATCCGTAAAAAGAATCATTCGAATGAGTTCTTTGTCATTCTATTTGGAGTCGCAAGGATTCAAACTTGTGACCCCTAGATGTGTGTTAGTACTGGACCTTTACTTCTGCTGTCTTAAAAGATGCCCATTGATCTTGCATTAATTATAACAACTCTACACCATCTCACTGAAATATGCTGATTATTCTAACACTCACGTGATTTTGTCACTATAGACAAAGAAGGAAAGAAACTGGTGTTAAACTGCCAATAAACACCGGTTAGGGACTACTTGTAAATGCGCTGTTATGTTTTCACCCTCGATTGTATAGTTTACAAAGCATTTTAAAGCAACAATAAAAAGCATTTTTATTTATATTTTCAGTTCGTATAATGTTTTCTTTTCATACAATACCGAAATAATATCTCACATACACTAACGCCACATATAAGATCCATATCAGTTAATAAAATATTTTGACAAAACGGCGCCAATCGTAAGCAGCGTCGTGACGTCATCCTAAGTAAACAACTTATTCATAAACAAGCTGACGTTATTTCATGCAGACAAGAATGATAAATGGGGTACTGATGTAAAAACAATACGACGTAAGTTTTTAGTGTTGAAAACTTGATAAAATAACGTTTTTTTCTTATTATTCCTTTTGTTTAATAATTTCTATACCTTCGCAACAGTAGGGTGCGAAAATCGAACAGCGTTATATACGAAAATCGGCACCGGAAGTTATTTCCGCTTGAAAAATAACATTAGTGATTTTCCTTATTTCATCGTGTTAGAATCGAAATAACATCGGCCTGAGAGGTGTATATCGGCTATTTAACACCGGTTTTGTCGTTTTGATGCGACAAAATTAACCACTCAGGCCTACGGCCTTCGTGGTCAATTCTTACGCATCAAAACTCCAAACCGGTGTTAAATAGCCGATATACACCTCTCAGACCGATGTTATTTCTTAAATAAAAAAATCTATATTAAGGCTAAAATATTTTCTTTTGAAACCTGACCGAATGCATGCCTTAATTTAGAACTTTGTAAATTTTTTAAAGAGATTGTGTTTGTGTATATTTAGTGAATTTTCATTTAATACTGGTAAGCATTTTTTCTCTCCATAGAACATCAGTGGTAATAGTTTACGTAATATGTTTCTTTAAAAGATATCTATATCACAAACCTCTACTCTAGCAATTTCTTTTATAATCCTTTTTTTTCTTTTCATTTATTTTTTAAAAAGCCTTAAAAGCATATTATTTAAGTGTGATGCAAGATTGTTGTAAGTCATTAAAACTATAAAAATGAGATACAATTTTTTGGCGGGGATACCCTCGTTTTTTATCAGGATAACAATCTTGATGGAATGAAAGAAGAGACAGAGCATGCGGGTCGGTAATCTTAAATTACCTAATACGGTAACAGTGTGTGTTATAATTACCTATGTTGTAGAATAGATTCATTTATCCTTGTGAATTTTTCATTCTCATAAATTACCATCAAATAGTTTATAATTTTATTATTGTATTTGTGAAATAGGTAACTCCCAGATGTTTACCTGTGTTATTAAATGCAATTAGCAGTTTTTCATATAAAGAAATATTATAAATTGTACTCCCTTTTTTGTGGGAATAATATGTATTACAGATACGTGATAAAAGAATAATCCTTTTAAGGTATAATTTATAGTTTCATTTTATATCAAAGATATGTATGAAAATTGTGAAATACAATTTTCATATTTTTAGGTCATTAGAACCAAAGATATAGGATGATTTGTGAGAATAAAGGGGAGATTATACTCAGGCATTCAAGGTCAGATGCTGTGTATTAAATGATTTTGTTCTCTAAATGAGCCGTGTCATGACAAAACCAACATAATGGGTTTGCGACCAGCATGGATCCAGACCAGCATGCGCATGCGCACAGTCTGATCAGGATCTATGCTGTTTGCTATCAGTTTCTTTACTTGTAATAGGGTTGGTAAGCGAACAGCATGGATCCTGATCAGACTGCGCGGATGTGCAGGCTGGTCTGGATCCATGCTGGTCGCAAACCCATTATGTTGGTTGGCTCATTTCTGTTTAGCCATCTTGTAATCACTCTCAAACAGGTAATCACAAATAAACATCTACAGGACTGATTCTTTTGAAGCTTTCTACAAAACATATTAGATACATGTACTTGATTATCATCCAATGAATGCAGCACATGAAGGTCTCAGAAGCTTCATGTAGAAGATGACAAAATGACCTCTTAAAATATCTTTCGGTTATGTAAATCATAGTATTTTTGGTCAAATTGAAAAATTAGCAAAACCAAGCAATTATGGGCCCACTATTTTGTCTGAGCACCCATTACTGAACCATGGGATTGTTCAGTTAATGTAACCTTTGGCCATAAATTATTGAAAGACCATTAGCATTTAATAGAGAAGTTTCATCAAAAAGATGACAACCATACGTTACAAATAAAGTCGAATATGTAAAAGGTAAATGTAAATGTGCAGAACAAGCAAAGGCCAGAAGTCTTCATGTTTTGCAATGAGCTGTTCAGCAAACCAGTATTATGACATCTTGTAAATACATATGTATGTCTATTTTCAGGTCCAACAAAAACCATAGACAATCGTGTAAAAGTACGAGTTAGACGCATTAACAAGGATGGTAAGAATCCTTTAGCTGGAGACTTACAGACTAAACAAACATCTGATTTGGAGAAAAGTGTACAGAAAGAACTAGAAAAGGCAGGTCTTGGAAACGGAGGTAGGTTATTCAAAATTTCATACAGTACGAAACAGTTTGTATACTTTGATAATCGTCTTGAAAAAATGTATGGTAGAAAAATAATTAAATGCATTGTACATGTATATGTAATGGAAGTAATTTAAAACAAATCATGAAATAATCTGTCTAGTGACTTTGCTCATTCATTAAATGTCTTATTTTAGTGTGGACTTCTTGTGCTCCCTGTAAAAGTTCACAGGCTCTATACTGGAGGCAAAGGCTAATTACCTTGGATTCCAGCAGATTGAAATTAAATTATTACAGCTTTAATATGACAGAACCATCATCACACTATATATGTTCTATATATGTTTCCATTTCACCTTGTATTATTTTCAGATAACATTCAGGTGAAGATAATTACTACAGGATATGTTGATGGGGATGATGACACCTTGCATATTTTATCAGATGAGGAGTCCGAAACTTTCAAGAATATGATAGTTGACATGATTGTAAGTTGATACATTACTCTATGATAGTACACTATTCAGTGATAGTGTATCACTCAATAGTAATAAATACTAGTAGATTATTCAGTGAAAGTGCATTATTTGATTATAGTGCATAACTCAATGATAGAACATTATTCAATGATAGAACATTATTCAGTGATAGTGCATTACTCAATGATAGATAATTTAGTCAATGATCGCGAATTACTCAATGATTACTCAATGATTTCTTAGTAGCCTTAGATATAATGTTTAATTTTTTGGTTAGGAACTTCAGTGTTAGTGTCATGATCTTTCATGATTTTTTTTAGCTCACCTGACCACAAAGTCGTCAAGGTGAGGTATAGTGATGGGGCTATGTACGGCGGGATTGCTGTGCATTGTCAACATTTGGGTTGTTAACACTCTAGCAGTCACAGTTTTGGTTGGATCATTATCAACATTGTCAGAATGTTAGTCTTAATGAATTACAGGTCAAGTTCGAATATGGGTCATGTCGTTTACAATTTGCACAATATAAATAGTTTTGATGGGATAGTTATGACCATCACTTTACTACTAGCTTTCCTTTCTTGTATTAACTAGAATTATTTGATAATATAGATGATGATTTTTACAGGGAGGTCATTCTGAGGTTGATAAAGAGCAGGCCAGGCAGGATGAACAAGAAGAGAACTATAGTTTTGTCTGGGGGAAAAATTCACCAGCATATCCAAAAACTCCAGTCATATCAGATGGTACATCAAACAAAGAGGATACAATACATGCAGAGGAGAGTACTACAGACACGGAGGGTAATACTAACACAGAGGAACATCAGGATATAATTGTAGATATACAAGAAAAAGAGGAAGAGTCTATTGATGATGTGGAGAATTCATAGCAAACTTGTCGTAATCTCACTGATATTTTCTTGCAAATAAATGAACCAGATAATGTGATATTCTTTTTACTATTATGAAATTTTGATAATTCTATTCCTCTTTTTGAATGTCCAAATTATATATCAAGGGTTTGGTGCAAAACAGCTTTAGTTCATATAACATAATGAAGGAGTTATGTCCGTTTTGCACTGATCCATCAATATGTTTCTTTGACACTCTAAGTTCATATTTTATTTCATTATTTTACAAACATACATACTTTTTTCTAGGTGTTTACTTACTTAATCTGATTTTTTTTAGAAAAAAATAATGCCATAAATCTGTATCACTATTTCTGTAAAAATTATATTTTATATGAAATTTTTATTGCCTCCTTAATTGTTATGCTTGATTCGAAAAACAGTTAAAACACCTTGAAAAAAAAAAATATAATCTTTATTGTAATAAAATAGTTCAATTAAGACTGAAGGAAAGCCACAGAAATCCATCAATTTTGTTTAAGATCATTGCATCAATGTAATTTTAATTGATGGAAAGATTAGAATACAATATGGATTGATATCAGTACATTTTATTTGCAGGTTAATGGGTTATGAGTTGTTAATGTGTTCACGACCATGTGATAATTTTCCGTAAGTTATAGGGGCAAAAAAAATACATATTTGAAGATATTAACTTTTAAATGTTTTATTTTTTTGTTCAGATATTGGCTGTAGATATATAATGTTTAAACATGTAAATTACATTTTATGGATATTTTGTTATATTTCAGAAAATTATTATAAATTTTGAAGTTTAAAAACATCCTAATTATTGAATTATTCATCGTGACATGGCTGATGAAAATTTGTTGTACTCAAAATTGTGTTATTGTATATGGAGCTTAGATTTGAGTATTATACTTTTAAATTTAGTTTGAATGTAGATATTAGAAAAGAATTAAGCAAATAATATTGTTTAGATCATTTCCAAGATATTTTATCAGTTATATTTTGGAATTAACATATCAGGAATATAGTTGCAGTGGTCACCCCAGCATTATTTCAAAGCACAGATATAAATCTTTGACTGATAATTTCATGCATTGAATTAAAGTAGAGATAATACTTTCAATTTCAAAAGTATGCTAACACTAATACTGACTAAGCATTTCAAGCGTTAAGTAAAGCTTTCATAAAAAATTTCGAGCACTTATTTAGCTTATTTTAAAAATTCGAAGCACTACATTAAAAATTCCAAGCACTAGGTAAAGCTTCTTTTAAGAATTTCAAGCACTAGATTAAGCTTACTTTAGAGATTGGTTAAGCTTACATTAAAAATTTCAGCACTGATTAAAGCTGTAAAAGCTTATGAATGGAAGAAAGCTTTAGCCTAGTAGCTAAAGTGTCTGGCTCTCAAACCAGAAATGGAGGGTTTGAAACCCTATACAGGGCTTGCAACTATTTTTCTTATATGACACTAATACTTGCAAGTTCTTGGTTTATTTAGAATTTATTTTAGTTTGATTGTGTAGGAACCTTATAGCTTATAAACACTTTCTCGAATCTGTTCATGGAACCAACCAATACTGAGCAATGAGTGTAAAGTTTCTTGCTCATGGAAACAAGTGCTAAAGTGCATTTAAGAATTTCAAGCAGGGAATTAAGTTTCCACTATAAGAATTTGTTAATTCAGTCAGACAAGATTTAACTACCTAATAAATTGACAGAAGAACAAAAAAATTTCAACAACAGAAATACTCCATGCACAATAGAACTCTTAATAGTACAGAGCTAGAGCTAGGATTATTAATTGCAAGTAAAGGTAAAGATAATGTAATTATCCCCCGCCGATGGAATCGGGAGGGGGATATAGTTTTGGCGTTGTCCGTCCATCCGTCCGTCCGAATTTCGTTTCCGGAGTAGTTCTCTGCAACTACTGGCTGGAATTCAACGAAACTTTATGGGAATCATCAATATCAAGAGGAGATGCGCATATCATCGGCTTATTCCGGTCCAACCATTTAACTCAGAGTTATGGCCCTTGATTAGTTATGCAGTATGCATATAGAGTAAAAATCGTTTCCGGAGTAGTTCTCTGCAACTACGGGCTGGAATTCAACGAAACTTTATGTGAATCATCAATATCAAGAGGAGATGCGCATATCGTCGGCTTGTTCCGGTCAGACACTTTAACTCAGAGTTATGGCCCTTGATTAGTTATGTAGTATGCATATAGAGTAAAAATCGTTTCCGCACTACTTCTCTGCAACTACTGGCTGGAATTCAACGAAACTTTATGGGAATCATCAATACCAAGAGGAGATGCGCATATCATCGGCTTGTTCCGGTCAGACACTTTAACTCAGAGTTATGGCCCTTGATTAGTTATGCAGTATGCATATGGAGTAAAAATCGTTTCCGCGCTACTTCTCTGCAACTACTGGCTGGAATTCAACGAAACTTTATGGGAACCTTCAATACCAAGAGGAGATGCGCATATCGTCGGCTTGTTCCGGTCAGACACTTTAACTCAGAGTTATGGCCCTTGATTAGTTATGCAGTATCCATATAGAAAAATATTTGTTTCCTCGCTACTTCTCTGCTACTACTGGCTGGAATTCAATGAAACTTTATGGGAACCTTCAATACCAAGAGGAGATGCGCATATCGTCGGCTTGTTCCGGTCAGACACTTTAACTCAGAGTTATGGCCCTTGATTAGTTGTGCAGTATCCATATAGAAAAATATTTGTTTCCTCGCTACTTCTCTACTACTACTGGCTGGAATTCAATGAAACTTTATGGGATACTAAGAGGAGATGTGCATATAGTCGCCTTGTTCCAGTCAGATACATCTCATTGGGATTTCCAGATTTTACTTTTTAACACAAAGTTATGGCTCTGTTATTGCCCTGAATATTTATCAAGTTCAAAGAATATTACTGTTTATGCCATGATTAATATATAAATAAAGCCTTATGTCTTCAGTTGTTGTGTTAATAATAACCAGTACTCGGCGGGGGATATAAATTCAACGAATTTGCTTGTTATTCTGACTTTTTTGTTGTTGTATTTTTAATTCAGCTTGGTAAATTAAGTCTGCAAATAAATTGTTCAAGAACAAGCAAGGTTAAGATACCCAAATGCTTAGATTTTATTAGTACAAAGATACATTTGTAGTAGTTAGTGACCAAGAAATTTAACCTTTTTGAACTCAAGGTTACAAAATCAAGTCTGAATTTCTTTTGTTAAAATAAAATATTGTCATATAAATCAAAATCTATTTAAACAGTGCATAGTATATTATAAGACAGTTTCAGTGGCTTGCCTTCAAAAGACATATGAGCCGTGCCATGACAAAACCAACATAATGGGTTTGCGACCAGCATGGATCCAGACCAGCCTGCGCATCTGCTCAGTTTCCTACTTGTAATAGAGTTGGTAAGCGAACAACATGGATCCTGATCAGTTTGCATGGATGCGCAGGCTGGTCTGGATCCATGCTGGTCGCAAACCCATTATGTTGGTTTTGTCATGACGCGGCTCATATATATTTAGTGCTACCTGGAAATATTTATTTTTAGCTTTTATTTCATATTCTGGCAGCAATTGAATTTTACAAATTCAACCAGTGCAGACCATGATGTCTGATCATGGTCTGCCTTGAGCTTACTTAAAGTTATTTCCCTATAAATGATAAATGGACTTGTCCATACTGAAAGATGGACAAATCCATTTAAGATATTTAGTATGATAAGGGTTAAATAGGTTTAAAGTTTATAGCATAGATAAAGATTTTAGATAACGTAGATGTTTTTAGTGTCTTTTTGGTACATTTTTTGGATTAATTTTGTTTATGTTTTGTTGATGTTGTATGTAATTTTTACGCTTTCTATAAGATTTTCTAGTCAGATGAGTCAGCACTTGTGTATGTTAACTCAAGGTTGTTGAGTTTAAAAAGATAAGTTTATATTATTTCTATAATTCCTGCTTTCATTAGTATTTTAAGCAGAAAGAATTTGCTTGATTTATTTCTATTTGGTGCATTATTTCCTGTCTGCTTGATTAGATATAATTATTTGTGTTTTCAAAAAAAATGTCATGGAATATGTTCAACTTCAAGGCATGTAATAAAATGAAAACAAAATCATAACATTCCACTATTTTTTTTTACTTTGTTTTGGTGTAGATATTATAATAAACACAAGGAGGAATTGGCCAAGGTCACATGGTTGTACTCTCCTAAGCTTTGAATATCATTAGTGGCTGGACATAAAAGGCCTTCTGCGAGATATTTGTTATATTTTGGACTTCAAGATTACTGAAATGCATGTAATTTGATTTTACTTTAGAAAAAATGGTAATATTTATATCACATATAAATTTTATAAGCATAGAGTATTTTATTTTTATAAATCAACATTTTTATAAAATTATTAGAAATTGATTCAGTTATGTTTGAAACTAAAGAAGTGTAGTATTGAAGTAGTATATTGAAATGTGTTCACTAAAAACAACAGTTATTAATGAGTATATCTAAACTATTTGATAGATCCATATATTTTTACTTGTGATATACATGTAGCTTAATGAGTCATAATTTAATTGATTTTAGAAATCCAGAATATAAATTAATTTAGCTTGTTACAAGTTAAATGTTTTGTGTTGTTGTATGTATTTAACTTGTGTTATAATATTACATAGCAGATATTTATATTTTGTTTTCTTTATTGTAGTTTATGTAATGAAGTTGCATGCATCCGGATTAACTAGAATAAAACTAAACGAAGTGAAACAAATTTTGTACCTTTATAACATAGTAACATAAAAAAGAAAGAGTTTTTAAAGCTCTGTTTTACAGACTACTTCCTAACAACAACAATGGGTTAGGCTAAATTCTTAATGATATACAGGAAAAAAAGGAATTGTGTTAGTCAGACTATTCAATTCTTGTAGTGTTGTAAAATGTTAAGAAAGCCATGGTTTTTGCATATGATATACATTAAAATATCAATTTAAAAAGTGGCTGTTTATTATCTCAACTGCTTCCAGTTTTGAATATTTTTACTATTACATCAAGATGCCTGCAGCTTCAGACAATGTTAATTGTGTTCATTATTATTTGTAACGTCTGTTTTGCACTCTGTTAATTGTTATATACACATATAAGTAATTATGTTTAGACTGTCGTTTTTAGCTCCATTTTTTCAAAGAAAAAGCAACACTTTTGTCATGACCCATTCTGTTTCTTTGGTTAACATTTTGTTTAAATTTTTGTTTATTTTTTTTGGTATTTGCAAAGAACAAGTTGCTATTGCTTCAGTGGCCAGAAAATATACTGATGTAAAAAGTTTCCTTTAAACATAAATTTTCTATCACAATTTTAACTTGCTTTCAGACCAAAGATTTTGATAAACTGCTATAAGGACATTTATCATTCCATTATAAAATATGTTTTCATATTTTTGTAGCTTAATGGAATAATGTACAATAATAATGTTAAAATGTATCAGTGTTGTTTCTTGGATATTTTATTCAAACTATTTGATTAGAATTTTGGTAATTTTCATTTTTCAACTTAATTGTTTCAAGATCTATCACAGTAACTTTAATTGTGTAATTTTTCTCTTTTTTTTTCATTTAATCATGAAGTCATTCACCTGAACATGTCAGGTAACATTTGTTAATAAAACATTTATAATATTGAATATTTGTTGAATGTAAGGTTACAAAAATGTAGATATCTTTAAAAAAAAAATTGCACTCAGTACATGCTGATTAAAAAACTTGTATATTGAAATTTATATTATAACAAGTTGATTGCGTCATGTTTCAGAGAAAGTTTTGATATCAGATGAAACGTGCCCAGACATTCATTTAAAATTAGTTAAAATTAGCGAGGGAGGGACACTTTAATTTTTTTTAATAAAACTATTAAACAAAATACTTTAATAACCAGCAAATATGTTAAATTGTGTTGACCTTTTAAATTTCACTGTGTTGTATATATGATTTGCTTCAGATATATTGTTAACATTTTCTTTACTTGATTACATTGTACGTAAACAGTAACTACCAATTATGTTTAATACGCATTGGTTTTTCACTTCTATTAAACCATCCTCGTATATTAATAACGCAAATTATTAAAATTCCTCCTGTTTAGATAAAAGGGGGTTCTTTTCTCTTTTTTGTTCAAAAAATATGCAATAATTGTGGGTGGATTTTTGATTATGTATAATACGTTTGGTAATGAGTTAATTTTATATGTATTGGTTCTGTTTTTTGTTTTTTATAATAAAAAGTACAGGCATTGTTCATGGTTGGTTTTTTGTGTGTTTTTTCGTCATTCCCACATGCTTGTCTGGTTTGCTAATGTTTTCTGGCATATGGTACTGAATTTATGTAACCAGAAATATTGGTTTGAAAATCTTTAACAACCCTTATTCTACCACTTTAATTTGTGGACATAATCTAACAAAGAAGTTGTACCATGAAAAAATATGCAATTAAAATTTAAAAATATGGTAAACAAGATGATGTGGCAGTTTATTAAACACAAATGTCATTTTTATTAAACTTACGGTATGAAAAGAAAACATTGAGGTTCTAGTCAGCTCGTCATTATGGAATGTTTCAAAGTGAGCTGTTAGTATGAATGGAGGGTGCTCTGCCTTAAGATGTTAAAAATGATCCTCGTTTTTTGAATCCACAGTTCAGACTTTGCAGTCTAGTAACCCTGTGACTGCCTATTTTGTACGGAACAACATTTTTAAGCTTTTAGTCAGGAAAAATTTACAGACATATTTTCTAATAATCCGTTGGACGGACCTTTATCGAACCGTTGACGGTTTTGTATCACTTCTGCTAAAATTGAAGCAGCAACTTTAATAATGTTAGATAATCTCCAAATTTTGCCTGTACATAACGTCTTCCGGGTGTTCTCAATCAAATTTGCCCCTGAAAGAAATACCGGTCCCTCCAAGGAGCAGACAAAAATAAAATATACATGTATATATCTACTAAAAGAAAAAAGTAAAATACACAAAATCAAAGCACTGAATGTACTGATGGGGAGGCTATGAGAGAATGTTTCAGACTTATAGTTTCTTTTCTTTTTGCTTAAAATATGCTACCAAAATAAAAAGATATGCACATTGCGCTATTTATCCTTACTGTTGTGTTCAACCATTCATATATATGGTTAATGTGGTTGACTATTCATTTTGTTAATATTCCAGAACATTTAATTGAGGTCTACATTCGGACTGTTAATCATGCAAATTTTGAAAAACCTAAACTGTCAATAATAAATGACATACCAGCAAGTATGACGACTGTTCATTATCAGATAACAATAACATTTTACAACTGACGGTTCCTTATCAAAATATTCTAGGACTGTTCATCATAAATACTTTATGTCATTTTAATATTATTGAATGATAATAACAACTGCAAGTGATGCAACATTTTTATTGAACATAAAAATTATACACGTTTAGATGTACCATAATTGAGATCAATAAGATACTGTCTTGTGATGAGTATTAATATTCATGCTCTACGGACAGAAGGTTGTCTTCTCCAGAAGCAAATCTCGAATAAAATCACGTTTCAGAAAATTAATCCCATTTCATTACTGACGGCGTCGGATAATATTAAAGCTAAATATTTCTTGAAAAAATACATCTCTGCAAAGCTTATTCAAAACTGAATCAACCTAAGTGAAAATTGATCAGGAAGTTATATCTTCTTTTTTTACCGCCAACACTCAACCAACTTATGGTAGTTGTATCATAGTTTGGAGACCTTTCTGTTGAAAATGTGCCAGGGTTAAATCGTATACATATACATGCACAGTGCGTTAACTGGAGTGCGGGTATTAGTTACCCGCACTCCAGAGCATGCCCATTGATTGGCTCATTTTTGCTGGGGTTTACATATTGCGACGGCAGAGAAAGGGAATGCGACAGAAATATCATATTTAGATGTTCGTTCATTGGTTCATTTTTGCCGGGGTTTCATATTGTGACAACAGGGAACGTGTTTTTATGTTTGACTATGATACAAAAGAGAAAGAACACCAAAACACTCGGCAATCTGATTTATACTCGGGGGCTACGCCCCCTCGTACAAATCAGATAGCCTCGTGTTTCGGTGCTCTTTCTATTACTTAATCGATAGATTCTACGTGTATTTTTAAACCTCACTAGCTTGAAATATATACTGCGGAAAATCTGTTGTTAACAGGGTGTGCGGTTATTACGTAGGGTTTTCCCTGTCGACCATTTCCCGCAAATAGATGAGAACATCGAAGCCGTCAGTGCTATGAATGGTGTTATAAATGGCGTGTTTTGGAAGTTTTTGTTGAAACTTCTCCAAATACCTCCAGAGGCGTGCACGTCGCGGAGAGGCACACGGAAGGTCATAGTCAAGTCATCATAAGTCCAGAGGTGATTGGTTGACCTGTCGTGACTTACTCTGGAGGTTTGGCGCTAATAGATGCCGTTTTTGTTGTCGTCAGTCAGAAAGTTGATGCCTTGACGGTATTGTCGTCTCCTTTACCACCAAAGAACGAAGAATGGGCTTCCAGGAAGAATCTGCTTGAAAAAGACGTCCCAGATGCTATAATCTCGGACATATGGTTATTCCGGCGCCGAGTATAAATAAACTTAAAACACACACACTTTTGTTGAAAACAAAACAACAACACATTTTCTGTAGTAATTTTTCAAGTGCTGTAAAATGAATAAGAAATTCCTCTTATGCCGCCCATTATTTTTAGAACACAACCATAAAAGTTCTTTTTTTTTATTTTTCAAATAAACATTAATCACTTCAGCGCGCGCAAATATCGTTTTCAAATTAAAGTTTCGTAAGATATGTTAATGACTTCCCGATGCTCGACTGTAAGTAATTTGTACATGTATATGTATGCGGTTTTTTTTGTTTTTTGTTTTTTTGTTTTTGTTTTTTAATTAAAGCTTCTTATTCTT